AGGAGTTATCGGAAAGTTGCCCGAGTTTTTGCGCCGATCCGATAAGGTTAACGCAAAGGTAAGGCCACGCGAAGTCAATATGTTGTTTCCGGTCCATCCCCTTCTGGGGTGGGTCGGTCGGTCGGTCGGCAGAAAGTAATAAATAAAGTTTTGGGCTGATATTGGACATTTCTTCGCATTTTGCACAAAAACTGACCCAAAAATTCAAATCCCGCGATTTGGGTAGTACCGTACGACCAAGGTATGATTCCGAATGCTCGAAAAAGGCAATTATTTTAGCGAATCCGAGCCCAAATCATGTATTATTTTCCACTTTCCGACCCTAAATCCGAATGGCCAAGAGGTACCTCGGTACCTACATTTTCGAAATCTGTAGCCGTAATCGGTACGTACCGCACACTCATACGGCCTGGAATTCACTTTCCGAACGGGATTTAGCAATTATTTTCGGTATCCAAAAAAGCAGAATCCGACTGCTTATCCGGAGTTTCCAACATTCCGAATGCAAATAATTAATTATTTATTCGGAATCATACCTTGGTCGTACGGTAATTTTGGCCCAAGAACCGTGCTTCCTGACGGATGAGAGCAGAACCTGTCGAATTCGTCAGGTTTTCCCTCTTGATGTCGAGACTCAAAGCCAATTTGACCAATTTTAGGGTGCATAAGTGGCATATGACCTGCCAAAATCCAGATTATTATATTATTGTTTTCCAAAATCGTCCAAAATTTGGGTCGGTCGCGGACCGGAAACTACATATCGACTTCGCGTGGCCTTTAAAAGTTATAACTTTCCGATAAGGGCCAGAATTCCTTGTCGGATCGGCGTGACTTTCCGATAAGCAAAGTACCGATAAGGACTTGTCGGAAAGTTAAACTTTACCGATCCGATAAGAAGCTTATCGGAAAGTTAAAATGCTGCGGGTGCGAATCGCCCCTGAGAGTGCAATTTGGGCTTTAGCTGTGATTCCCTAGGACCTTCCACGTGATCAGGACCTCTGGTATGGATTTTGACGGAGCGATCTGAACCGTCCAATCCGTCAACGTTAACAAGATGGACGCTGGTGACAGCAAAGAGGCTTGTCCCCCAGCCATTTCTCAGATCTGCAGACCGCCTGCCAAACCGAGGTTTCAAGTCTAGACTCAGACCTCGGTCTCGGGATCCTGAAACCACGGTCAATCCGCGGTCACTCTGGGTCGATGATGCATATTGCGGTCTGGACCGCCGAGTCCTCGGTCTTCAAAATTGCATATAAATCGCCCGTGTACCATGCATCATCATGATCTTGGCCCATAGCTTCAACATGAATGATTGAGTCCATGATCATTCGATCTCAATGTCAAATGATCATACTCAACTTACGGTGGTTTGAGATTGCGATCATGCAGCCCGTATGGACATGCTTCAAATCTGCTCCGTAAGTTCTTCACATGCATGTTCTCATAAGCGCGGCACAAAATTTCTGGGAGTGCCACCAGCGCGGCACCGTACACCATGTCTCTGGCAAGCTCAATCAGTAATTGAGTGGTGACTTGCATGCAAGCAACACATGAAAACTTTGGTACATGCCGTGCGCATTTGATCTTTTGGTCACATGTCTGCAATGTGTTTATTCTCCTCCGGCCTTTGGCTGGGCTCTGCAGGGCCTTCTGCAAGTACTTATGCGGCATCGAACCAATCAACGTTTACGAATCCAACTGAATCTCACTTAGAAACCATTTGGCCACTTGCCACGCTTAAACAGATGGTTCAATCACCCAGCGATATTTCTTGATGTATGCGGTTCACTCCACGTCCAAGTACTCCAAGATTATTGTTTCAGAAGGGCCCGATGTCTATCGAAACCAATCTTCGCCATCAATGTAGTTATTGTAATAGTCTACAAAAGCGCATCTATAATATTGGCTTCCAACCTCCTCGAAATAGGAGGCCGTGTTGTTCTCGATAGAGAAATCCTCGTCCCCTAGATCACATGGATCCATTTCAAATCTGACCAGCTCGACGTTTGGGCAGAGTCGCAGCAGCGGCATCAGGTCCTTTTCCAGGCTCATTGTTTGGTGGAAGAATGAAATGTACTGCAAACAGACGAAACAACACTAGATTTAGGCCGCATGGTCAAGTTGCATAGGCTTGGCCTAGGAAGCAACTAAAGGGAATCAAATCTACAGTGACACTGCTGGAAGACAAGCTTGGAGTCCTTGACACCAACAACACATTGAGGACCTTGAATCGTCGTCTTATGTAGAAACCTGAGAGAGGTGTGATTTTGCACAGGCATGCACTTTGAGGAGACTAGCTATAAAGAAGGTACCAGATTCTTGTAAGCGTACCTCAACTGTCTTGTTCACAACGTGCGTGCCGATCGCCCCCCTCAAAAAAGGCTCGTAGTCATTGTCCAACGGGACAAATCTTAGTTCTTCCAGGTTTTTGCAGTTGTCCAACACTGCGAGGAGGCCGTCGAGGTCAAGGACACCTTGGCCAAAGTCAACGCTTTCAAGATCCGGGCAGCCCTCGGCAAGAGCAACCAGTATGTCCTCTGGGATATGAGTCGGCTCGGCCCATCTCTCTCTGATTTTGATGTGCCTCAGCTTTGGACAACCACTTGCTATCGCCCGCAGCGCCTCGTAGTCCTTCCAGATTCCACAGGAGGTGCACTCCAAGAGCATCAAATGCTAGCTGAGTATGCCCACCATGTGCAATATTGAGGAAGCGAAAAACGTGTGGCATGAGGCCAGGGTCAGGTCCACAAGACTCCCTGCGCAGCGCGTTAGAAGGTCGGCATATGCCTCCAAGTAATCTTGGCTTTGGAAGCTGTCCTCTTGAATGTCTCTGAATTCAATCCTCCTGACGTATTGTGCACGCTTTGCCAGCCAGTGGAGATAGTCCACAGAGTAAGGGCCAACAAGCACAAGGCGCTCTGGCCTGCGAGCATGAAGTGGACAGCTGTTATTCATGTATTTAATTTGGATCCCTCTTTTTCCAAGATTTCTTAGATCATAATATTGGAAGGGGCCTTGATTGATTGCTAAGGAAAGTGGTGCAAAAGGGAAAGTGTGATGCAGATGCATCACGGTTGCTGTGCAAACTTGAGGAAGACCCTCAGCTACCATTTCACAATGCAGAAGTGAGCCTGCCCATCCTACCCAAGGTTGTTTCGCATCAATTAGCCAGAACAGCAGAACAGCGTTGACATCCGAAACAACAAAGAAATACCAGACTGATCGCGTCGCTTCTGTTGAACGTGTCTCTCAAAGCCGTTGGCTTTGTAGACGATTATTTGTTTTCGAAGGCCTTTCAGATGACAGCCTGGACAGCACTAACTCAATGACTTGCAATACCATACTTGTTTTCAGCAATGATCTAGTGGCAGATCAGCATGAGAACCAATGATGGTCACAGAGATGCCTCAGCGGAGACACCCTGTTGACCAAGCAGCAGTAAGCACCACAATCATTGACAGGTCGTTAGCTTTTTAGACACCTACCAGCAAGATTCATCCTCCAGAGCCTTGAGTTCGTGGTTGACGCTGGATATGCTGACAAAGTCAGCTGCTAGAGCACTTGCGTTGGCCTCCGCATCCCAGTAGTGGGATGAACGGGACAGCTTTTGCAGGATGGCAATTATCATATCCTCACTCAATCTGTACCAGGGCGCGTCATCTGCCGGCTGGGGATCACAGATAAGTTGAGCCATTGCCGGTTCTGATAGGTTTACACACTCGCGAGACCCTCTCCCCTTCTTAGCAGGATTTTTGAAGTTGCCTCTACTCTTTTAGCACACCGCAGCCTTCACCAGCTTTGCCTGATCAGCATCACGATCCACAGCAGCGCAGATTGTATACCACTGCTTCATTCATAGCATTATGTAGCTTGTAGGGCCACCTGAAGGCTGAGGCCTCCACAAATCAGACAAACGCCCTATCGGCGTATCGCTCTGTATGCATGACCAGATTGCGTGACCAAGATGGGCGACCAAAACTGTCAGAGAGTGAGTGCAATCCTGAATGGAACTTTGAGAGATACAGAGAATTTGAAATCCCTGGCGCGAAACTGTGTACGCGCGCACGGCACGCGGCGCGCCAAGCCTGAGTGTGTTTGACCGGACGCGGCGGCGTGCGGCAGGGTTTGCGCCCGCGCACGCGCGGGTCACCCGGCGTTCACGGCCGGTCTGATCGCGCGTCCCTAAAACCCTCGGAGGGGCTGGAAGTTGATGATTGTAGCGCTCTATGACAGGCGGAACGCACAATCTCGAAATGGCTGGGGGACAAGCGACCATGCTGTCATCAGCGTCCATCCTGTCAACGTCAACAAATTGACGGCTCCGATTCGTCCTCTTCGGCGCAAGGGAGGAGGCCCAAGCTTAAGAGTCCGGTCGCTAGCAGCTAATGCCCAAGTGCACCCTCAGACTGGCTTCATTAGGTGAAGATCGGACGGCTGTGACAGCGTTTCGGCCATCTCAGAATTGTGCGTTCCGCCTGATGATCTACGTACACCATGAGGCGAAACTGTTGGCCTAGCGTACCCAGCATAACGCAAGGTACTTCATGACGTGTACCTTTGAAATCTAGCTATATATTTGAGTTGGATCCTTTGTGTGCCATGATCGAAGCCTACATGTATGGCCTATAAATTTGGCTACGTGGCGTACTTGAAAAGACCATCAGACCTAGATACATGATAATCTTATCCTAGCTATCTAAGTATCCACCTCAGCGCTTGCGATAAACTTATTATAACTATACGTCGATGTTGTCAATGCATGAGCTCGACAATACTAGGTACCTACTAGGTACAATTGTGGCACATATCTTCTCGGATCACGGTCGCCGCCGGGCCCGGGGCCGTGCGTTTCCGGATATACCATAGCGTACCGCGCAGATCCTACGTATCCTCGGGTCAATGCATGCTAAATAGACATCACGGCATGTCAGAATCGTGCAGCGCAAGCTCATGTGTAAAGCAACGCATGTGGGAAGCGGAACCGTTGTCGCCCAAAACTTGCGCCAGGCCCTCCTTCAGTACACGTTTAAATGGTCAAGCAGAGTGCACGCATTGCATGCCCTGCCGCAAATCACGAAATGATGGCCCGGCAACATGCCAAATTCGAGGAACTCGTTACACCTCTGGCCGTTCTGTGCGCCGCCCTTGCGACCGGTGAGACGGTGCGCAGCTTGAACACAGCCTTGCACCGCTACCATGCGCTAGACTAATCTGAGTGCATTTCCGCTGCATGGAAACCGAGCCATCTCTGTTCCCGCAAACGAATACCTTTCATCAAATCAGACCTGCTAAAAATAATGCTTCTGCCCACAGCTGTGGTCAGCCCGACTCTCCCCAAGAGCAGGCAACACCGTTCTGTACCTCACTTCTCTACAATTCGGCGTAACCCGTTTTCGCTCTGCACCATTCTGCCCACTTCGCACGCGTCCCGGAACGCGCAGAACCGGCACTTCCACCGCTCGTCCTCGGGGACTACCTCCGGGCGCCTGCGGCCGAACCAGTAGTCTAGGTGCCAGGCTACCCGCTCTCGGGCCCACTCATCCTGGAAGTCGAACTCGTCCTCCGCCCAAACGGTGCGCCGCTCCTGCCACTCATATCTGCAAAAAGATTCAAAGTGGATTTACACAACTCGTATCTTTCTTCGACGTTGCTGAAAATGGTCTGGCGCAAGCGTTGCGGATGCCCGAGAAGGAAGATGCATTTTCCAACGTCACACGGTGCGCCGCTCCTGCCATTCGTACCTGGCACGACGCCAAAATAAGGTTCATTTCATTGGTATTTTCTTCAACGTTGCTGCAAGTGACGTGGCGGAAGCCTTGCGGATTCTCGACGGAGGGTACATTCTCCAGCGTCGCTGACGCAAGCCTTGCGCATCCACACGTAAGAAAGATTTTATCTGGAACTCGTTGGAGTAGGATTGAGGAACGCGACGGGTGATAACGTGCGAGACTTGATGGACCTCAACGGCTCAGACACATTCTCCTTCTTTCCTAGCTGCAGATGGTGAAGCTTCAGATTGAAAAGTACCGAAAGTCGACTCTGACCGAAAGTATTAATGACACCATCAGCTAGCCCAAATGTTAAAGTGGATCGTGAATGACGCAATTATCCGCAAGCAGCGGGGAGTTTCTGGAGTGGGCATACGCGAAGACAAGCTCGGATGAGGCCGGACCTTCGGACGTCGGAAAATTGATCGACTCCCTTGACTATAAGAGGCGTCATCCGTAGAAGCGGACCAGTGGTGGTGGAGCAAAAAGGGCAACACGAAACGGCTGAACACCTGCGACATGGGAAGAGAAAAGAAAGGCGAAAGCGAAGTGCTTTGGCTTATCTGACGAGCGTGAGAAGATCACGGGAGCAGGACAGAACGATCGGAACAAAACAGCGCCGAATCGTTACCTGAGCAACAAAGTGTCGTCAGCCGGGGGCGTGTCCCAGCACTCCGCGACCAGGCCGTCCAGCACGTCACCCAACGTTGCCACGTTGAGGGCGCACTCGGCGGCCGCGTGCTCGGCGACGTCAGCCGAGAGGGGCGCGCGCGCATTCAGCGCGAAGTGACCGAAGAAGGCCTCGGCCGGGAAGGGAGCTGCCGAGAGAAGCCCGTCGAACAGAAGCTTGTAGCACATAAGCTGGAGCCTGCAAAGAGGGCCAATCAGGCATCTCTCGTCAACGTGTCGAGGGCGGCACGTCTCCTAGTCAAACGGTATTCGTGTCCCATTCAGAATTGGTACATCAAGAAATTTGCTAAATAAAAGCAAAGAATTCAAGAGGAGCGACGAGTGGAGATTTCATTTCCCAGATCCAAGAACGCGCTTGGCACATCTACTGAAATTTCCAAAACAGAAAGTCTGACAGATGCCAAAACTTCATCCAAGTTGTTAGAACTGTCCGACGTTAGTTAGCGAAAGCCAGGGTCATGCGACTTGGCAATAACAGCTACAAATCTGAGATTGGCTTCTTAAAGAGGGCACTCAGATCACGGCAAGCGTCAAACGAGCTGAAGTAATCAACAATCATCAACGTTTCGGCGGTTGTCATTTGGTTGTTTCTCTCGCCTTCCAATCTGGCGTCTGCCTTGCTTAGAGGACCCCAGAACTCAAAGCACAGGCGCGCCTTTGGAAAGGAAACTAAACGCACCTTCGTTTGCATGAATCCATAACGTCAATCCTGTTCGTGGAGGAACTGGACATTCGCTCCTACTTCTGCAACTTAAAATCTTCCTTTCGGTAAGCATGCTACATATGATTCAGGATGTTAGAACGACATTATCGTTTCCGATCGTCGACCCTGACTCGAAGCAAAAGTGCATTCGCTTGCTTAGGCCTCTGACCTCGTAACCTGAATCCAGAGCCACAGAAATTTCTCTGATAACGTCAAACACGGCAGAGCAGCCCCAACGAGCGAATATTGATGAGGAAGACCCAGCTCCACTCACATGCCAGTCCGTTTTTGGGCATCGGACGGCGGCTTGAGCGTCCGGCGCGTTTTCGTATCGCACAGCAGCGTCCGCGGGCCCCCGTCTCGCTCGATCAGCCGCAGCTCGTCGATGATGCCCACGACCCAGTGACCCTCTAGGCGGCCAAGTCTGCCAGAAAAATGCGGAAGCTTAGAGAAACTCAAAGCAAGTGGGAGTAGGTGCAGAAGCGCGGGAATCTTTAGAGGTTAAAGCGGTTTCAGTGTTCGCGGGCCCCCGTCTCGCTCGACCAGCCGCAGCTCGTCGACGATGCCCACGACCCAGTGACCCTCTAGGCGGCCAAGTCTGCGGGGAAAATGGGAAGCTTAAAGAAACTCA